CACAACTCCTTTCAAAGTAATGTCCACATCACTAAACAGGAAGAAGACTTTCAAACCAGGAACAGAACATTTTTCCAAATTTTGTGGCATCGTTTTTGATTTGATTTTTCTCCCACTTGGGAAGCTCACAATGCACAAGACGTTGTCCAAAACAAGACACAAAATCTTCAATACGGGTTGAAAACATCCCTGGCTTCTATGGAATACGACACAATTCAAGAGCGTCTGGGAATAGACTGCTTGCCTGCTTTTCAAGAACTGCAGATAGACTTCCCCTGAACCTAGAAGTTCCGTTTCTGCTCCAGAACCACCTTCAGGACTCAGATGGCAAGGAGGCTCAGTGGCTCTTCCCTCAGAAACACAAGCAACACTCCTCCAACGGAAACTTTTGGCAGAATGGCCTACGTTTGCTTCCATTTTTCCATTTCCCAGACACAAGAATATCATTCTGAAATATTAATAGTGCAGCTCAATGTGCGTTGATGGAACAACCGGCTTCCTCTCTGCAAGGACTTCTTCTGGAATGCAGGGCTATTCCAAAGAAAACACAATATTTTTGCACCACAACGAAGCCACTGTGACAACTAAAGATAGAATAGCCCTTAAAATACACACACACACATATAGTGTGTGTGTGTTGACGGAACAAATGGCTTCCTTTCTGCAAGGATTTCTTCTGAAACACATGGCAATTGCACAGAAAATACACGATCTTTGCATCGCGACAAGTCCGATGATACAACTAAAGACAGATCAGCCCTTAAATACGTAAACAGACACACACACACACATATTATTTTATTTGGAATTGCAATGCATTCCATCGCACACAGCACACAAATAGATATTGTGTATTTATGGAACAAATGGTTTCCTTTCTGCAAGGACTTCTTCTGGAACGCACGGCAATTCAAAAAAAATATATTTTGGACCACAACAAGTTTGCTGGGATGACTAAAGACCGAATAACCTTATATAGTGTGTGTTTGTGTGTGTGTGTATATATATATAAATATATATATATATATATCTGGGATGCATGGCAATTTGCAATTCCAAATATGTTTGTACCACAACAAGTCTGCTGAGACAACTAAAGACAGAACAGCATATACATATATAGACACACACACACACATTATATTATATACCCACACACACACACATAGTGTGTTGATGGAATGAACAGCTTCCCTTCTGCTAAAACATATTCTGGAATGCTTTGTATTAAAATATTTTGGACCATAAATAATATTTTATTTGGAATTGCAAATTGCAATGCATTCCATCTCACGCAGCACACAAATAAATATTGTGTATTTATGGAACGAATAATAATAATAATCTTTATTTGTACCCCGCTCCATCTCCCCAAATGGGACTCGGTGCAGCTTACATGAGGCCAAGCCCAAAACAACAATTACAAAAAAATAAAACAAAACCAAAAACGCAAATAATAAACAATAACAACACAATTACATAAAGCAAAAGACAACATAGCAATATAAAATCACAATAAACATGAATGGTTTCTTTTCTGCAAGGACTTCTTCTGGAACGCACGACAATTCCAAAAAGAAATAAAATATTTTGGACCACAACAAGTAAGTCTGCTGAGACGACTAAAGACAGAATAACCTTCTATATGATGATGCGTGTGTATACCTGGGATACATGGCAATGTGCAACTCTAAAGACAGAACAACATATCCAAATATATACAGGCACACACACATATACACATATAGTGTGTTGACGGAACGAAGGGTTGCGCTTCTGCTAGGACTTCTTCTGGAATGCATGGCAGTTTGCAATTCCACAGAAAATAAAGCATGTTTGCATCACGACAAGTCAGTCCGCTGAGACAACGCAAGACAGAACAGCCCCATATAGATCTCTCTATATCTAGATGGTGTGTCCTGGCAGGGCCCGCTGGCATTTGGGAGAGGCTGGCAGGGAGGGTCCTGCCACATGGCTTCCCGGCCACACCCTGAAAGCGCTCCCAAAATGGAGATGGAGGGAAAGGAAGCCTGGTTTCTCCACAAGGCGCTGGGAAGGGCCCCCAAAGGGCATCTAGTCCGACTCCATTGCAAAAAGTGCAGCAACGGAGGGGAAGGGGTTTAACGGGCCTGCCTGGCTTCCTTCCCAGAAAGGGATCCCTGGCCTTCCTTGGAAGAATCCAAGGTTCCCCCAGAAGCAGGGCTCACCCAGCAAACTCAATGGGATTCCACCCCCCCCCCCTCCATGTTATAATAATATTCATCATCATCATTATCATTACTATAAATATCATTATATGGTATTATAATGGAACTGTCTTCCTGGGCGCCCTTTCTTCCATAACGTAAATATCTTCATATAATATAAGTATCTTCATAATGAGATATTTATATATTGTATCACATTATAATGGTATAAATACTATATTGTATATACAAATATATGATATTATTGGCCTAACACAGGAGACAGGATGGAAGAGTCTTCCTGGGCGCCCTTTCTTCAGTCTCCATAACGTAAATATCTTCATATAACATAAGTATCTTCATAATGAGGCCTAATAATAATAATAAATAACGTAATAATTCATAATTTATAATGTGATAGGGCTGGCCTCCCTCCTTTGAGATCCAATTTGGATCTCCCTCCTTTGGACTCCAATTCCCAGCATTCCTGGCACCCTGGGGCCCTTTCCTTCCCCCCCCAGGCATGCTGGGAGTTGGAGTCCCGCTCTCCTGAGGGGAAGGCCTGGCAAGAGCGAGCGTGGGGGGGGGGGGGGACACAATGACTGACCTGGCCTTGAGCTCCTTGTGCTCCTCGCGGGAGTAAGGAAAGAAGGAGGGAAGGAGAAAAGGAAGGAAAGGAGGGTGGAGAACGAAGGAAGGAGAGGAGGGAGAGAAAGAGGGAAAGAAGAAGGGAAAGAAGGAAAGAAAGAGGGAGGGAGAAAAGGAGGAAAAGGAGGAAGGAAAGAAGGGTAGAAAAGGAAGGAAGGAGAGAAGGAGGGAGAGAAAGAAGGGTAGAGAAGGAAGGAGAGAAGGTGGAAGAAAAGGAGGGAAAGGAGGAAGGAAAGAAGGAGGGAAGGAAGGAAAGAAGGGTAGAAAAGGAAGGAAGGAGAGAAGGAGGGAGAGAAAGAAGGGTAGAGAAGGAAGGAGAGAAGGTGGAAGAAAAGGAGGGAAAGGAGGAAGGAAAGAAGGAGGGAAGGAAGGAAAGAAGGGTAGAAAAGGAAGGAAGGAGAGAAGGAGGGAGAGAAAGAAGGGTAGAGAAGGAAGGAGAGAAGGTGGAAGAAAAGGAGGGAAAGGAGGAAGGAAAGAAGGAGAGAAGGAAGGAAAGAAAGAAGGATAGAGAAGGAAGGAAGGAAGGAAGGAAGGAAGAGGAAGGATGGAACCAAAGAGCAAAGGAAGAAACTGGTAGAGAAAGAAGAAAGAAAGAAGAAGGGAAAGAAGAACAGGGAAGGAAGGAGAGAAAGAAAGAGGAGAGAAAGAGGGAGGGAAGGTTGGCCACAGCAATGTGTGGTGGGTACAGCTAGTATAATATAAACAGCTTGCAATTAATGTAATATGAAGAACTTCCCAATGAGGCCTAATAATAATAAACAGCACAATAATTCATAATGTATAATCTTATTCTAGGGATGGCCTGCCTCCTTTGAGATCCACTTGGGGGGGGGGGGGGGGCTTCTTCCCCTGAGGGGCTTTGGACTCCAATTCCCAGCATTCCTGGCAGCCTCAGGCCCTTTCCTGATTTATATAGATATACTATAATACATTGTATATACCATATATTATATTATTAGCCTAACACGGGAGGCAAGATGGAGCTGTCTTCCTGGGCGCCCTTTCCTCAGTCTCCATAACGTAAATACCTTCATAATAAGGCCTCATAATTCATAATGTATAATCTGATTCAAGGGCCGGCCTCCCTCCCTCCTTTGCGATCCACTTGGGGAGGGGGGGGGCTTATTCCCTTGAGGTGTTGGGGAGTCCAACTCCCATCATTCCTGGCACCCTGGGGCCCTTTCCTTTCCCCCTGAGGCCTGCTGGGAGTTGTAGTCCCACTCTCCTGAGGGGGGGAAAGACCTAGCAAGGGAGCATTCTTCCCTTGAGGTGTTGGGGACTCCAATTCCCATCATTCCTGGCATCCTCAGGCCCTTTCCTTTCTCCCCCGAGGCATGCTGGGAGTTGTAGTCCCAAGCCAGTCAAGGGGAGGCCTGGCAATATGATTCAAGGGCTGGCCTGCCTCCTTTGAGATCCACTTGGGGGGCCTTCGACTCCAATTCCCATCATTCTTGGCACCCTTTCCTTCCCCCCCCCCCGAGGCATGCTGGGAGTGGTAGTCCCACTCTCCTGAGGGGGGGGGAGGCCTGGCAAGAGGGCCTTCTTCCCTAGAGGGGCTTTGGACTCCAACTCCCATCATTCCTGGCACCCTGGGGCCCTTTCCTTTCTCCCCTGAGGCATGCTGGGAGTTGGAGTCCCACTCTCCTGGGGGGGGGAGGCCTGGCAAGAGGGCCTTCTTCCCTAGAGGGGCTTTGGACTCCAACTCCCATCATTCCTGGCACCCTGGGGCCCTTTCCTTTCTCCCCTGAGGCATGCTGGGAGTTGGAGTCCCACTCTCCTGGGGGGGGGAGGCCTGGCAAGAGGGCCTTCTTCCCTAGAGGGGCTTTGGACTCCAACTCCCATCATTCCTGGCACCCTGAGGCCCTTTCCTTTCCCCCCTGAGGCCTGCTGGGAGTTGTAGTCCCCTGGCGAGAGGGTGTGTGTGGGGACCCCCGAGCCTTCTTCCCTTGAGGTGTTTTGGACTCCAATTCCCATCATTCCTGGGACCCTTTCCTTTCCCCCTGAGGCCTGCTGGGAGTTGGAGTCCCAAGCCAGTCAAGGGGAGGCCTGGCAATATGATTCTAGGGCCGGCTTCCCTCCTTCCCTTGGGGTATTTGGACTCCAACTCCCATCCTTCCCGGCTGCCTTTCCTTTCCCCCTGAGGGAGGGAGGGAGGGAGGGACTGACCTGGCCTTGAGCTCCTTGTGCTCCTCGCGCGTCTTGGCGAGCTCGAGCTGGAGCCTGGCCCGCTCCTTGGCGACGGAGTCGAGGGTCTTCCGGGCGTCGGCCAGCTCGGCCTCGTAGGCGCCCTTGAGCCCGCTGACCTCGCGGCTGACCTCCTCCTCGGACTCGCAGATCCGGAGCCGCAGGCCCGCGTTCTCCGACTCCAGCGAGCGCACCTTGTCGATGTACACGGCCAGGCGGTCGTTCAGCTCCTGCAGGTCCTCCTTCTCCTGCAGCCGCGTGATCCGCGCCGGGGACGGAGAGGAGGCCGACGAGGAGGCCGAGGCCCCGGCTCCAGTGCTCCGCGTGCCGCGCTTCCCGCCCACCGAGGACTCCATCCTGACAGGACTGCCGCGCCTGAGGAGAGCGGCAGGCCTTAAATAGCCTCGCCCGCCCCCAGGCCACGCCCCCTCCGCCCTCCCACAACAAGGCCAGGCCGCGCCTGCGCGCCTCAAGGCTCAATGTAAGACTCTCTCCCTGGACACGCCCCCTCCTCTTCGCCACGCCCCCTGCTTCCTCCCTCCTACAACAAGGCCGCGCCTGCGCACAACGCACGCCTCGCCTTAAAGTCAAGACAGACTCGCCTCGCTGGCCACGCCCCCTGATTCCTCCCTCCCACAAGAAGGCCGCGCCTGCGCACAACGCACGCCTCGCCTCAAGGCTCAATGTAAGACTCTCTCCCTGGACACGCCCCCTCCTCTTCGCCACGCCCCCTGATTCCTCCCTCCCACAGCAAGGCCGCGCCTGCGCACAACACACACCTCGCCTGAAGACTCAAGACTATCTATTCCAGGACTCGCCTCCCTGGACACGCCCCCTCCTCTTCGCCACGCCCCCTCTCGGCCCACAACAAGGCCGCGCCTGCGCACAACACACGCCTCGCCTGAAGACTCCAGACCAGNGCTTTGAAACAGAGGCTGGATGGCCATCTGTCAGGGGTGATTTGAATGCAATATTCCTGATTCTTGGCAGAAGGGGGTTGGACTGGGTGGCCCATGAGGTCTCTTCCAACTCTAGGATTCTACGATTCTATGATTCTATGATTCTCATCTGTCCTCGACTAGGCAGAGAGCCTTCTCGATCGTGGCCCCTTATTCATGGAATGCCTTGCCAGTTGAAACCCGAACTATCCAAGACCTATTTGCTTTTCAGAAAGCCTGCAAAACCTTTCTTTTCCGACAAGCTTTCGATGAGTGAATAACTCAGGGCTATGTCTGTTTCGCGTTTTTATTGTATTTTAAAGTTGGTTGTATTGTTTTAATCTACTGCTGTAAACCGCTCCGAGACAAATTGGGAGTGGCGGTAGACGACAAGTCTAATAAATCAAATAAATAAATAAATAAAATTGCTGAGTATCTCAAGCTTCTGATTTATCTTAGTAGGTAGGTGTGTGCAGCAGCAAAAAGTGCCAATGCAATCCTGAATTTAGTGTCTAGAGCTGGGGTCCTCAAACTAAGGGCCAGGGGCCGGATACGGCCCTCCAAGGTCATTTACTGGGCCCTCACTCAGGGTCTATTATTATTATTATTATTATTATTATTATTATTATTATTATTATCTTTATTTATACCCCGCGAAATCTCCCGCAGGACTCGACACGGCTTACAAAGGCCTAGGCCGCAACAACAACAACACACAAGTATAAGAGTAAAACTCATAAGCAAATAATAAAACATCAAGCAAAGACAATAAACACTAAAAACAATGACACATGATGCATTTAAAATCTAAAAAGGCCGGGCCAAATGTAATGGACAAAATTAAAAGTGCTGAACTTGACAGGAGGTATGCAGAGGTTTTTTGGAGGTAGGTGCGATGTGCGGACAATCCTAAATCTCTACCAAAGTGCATTTGGGACATGAAGCCAGGAGTTTCCTAATCTGGAAAGGCACACTGGAACAGCCAGGTCTTCAGGTTCTTCCTAAAAATTGCCAGCGTTGGGGCTTGTCTAATGTCCTTGGGGAGAGAGTTCCAGAGTCGGGGGGCCACCACAGAGAAGGCCCTGTCCCTTGTCCCCACCAAACGCGCCTGTGACGCAGGTGGGATCGTGAGCAGGGCCTCTGCAGATGATCAAAGGGATTGTGTGGGTTCATATATGGAGATGCGGTCACGCAGGTAGGCGGGTCCCAAACCGTTTAGGGCTTTGTAGGTGAGCACCTGCACCTTGAATTGGGACAGGAAGATGAACGGCAGCCAATGGAGCTCCTTGAACAGGAGGGTTGACCTCTCTCTGTAAGGAGCACCAGTTAACATCCTGGCCGCCGTCCTTAAGGACGAGTTGAAATTTCCGATCTGTAAGTATCAATCAGTTAACAGATCTGGCCACCGGTGCACTGCCTCAACGTTGGACGGCGTTTGAAATTTCTGAGACTGTTTGGCAAGGGCATACCCGCAATGGTAGAGCGCAGTGGGCATCCCCTGGACAGTGTCTCTGTAGACGGCCAATACCTCTCACACCAGAAGCAACTTGCAGTTTCTCAAGTCACTCATGACAAGTAAAAAAAACCCATAACTGTTGTGACTCAGCTTGACTCTGAGTCTGAAGCTGAGCTCTGTGGGCCTTATGAGCCAGAATGCCTACAGGATGATGAAGAGGCTGATGGGGCGGCTCATCCATTATGCGAAGTAAGCGGTCGCAGAACACTTTTTTATGCCAGGGGGGCAGAGGTGCCTCTGTACATGCCCCTCGTCCGCCACTTGAGGAGCGCCCCCTCAGCTCACAACAGCCCTAGCAGTCCGGGGGGAGCCTCGGCTTTCTTGCCTCGCTGCCGGGCGATCCTCTTCCCAAAGGGGCCGGGCCCTTGAGCCTCGCCTCGCCCCTCTCGTTCCTGCTCCACCCAGCCACGGGTGCGCGAGCAGAGCCGGCGCTCAATTGTTCTCCGCATTCGATCCCTTCCCCATGACCGGCTCCCTTTCCCGATCTCCTGGCGCTCCACCCGCCTCCTCTCCTCTCCCCAATCCGCGGGTGGGCCAAGGGGCGGAGCCGCCGCGCCTGGCCCGCTTCGGGTCCGGAGGCATGTCTGAAGACCCCAGCGTGCACAGTCGCCTCTTCTCCTGACTTTCTCTTCAGCCATTGGGACCAAGAGAGAGAGAGAGAGAGAGAGAGCCCCTCCGGCTGGAGGTATCTCCCACCTCCGCTCCCTCCTTTGTTTTTGCGCCTACCTTCAGGAAAGGTGGGCATCTCCACCTCTCTCTCTCTCTCTCTCTCTCGGTCCCAATGGCTGAGGAGAAAGTCAGGAGAAGAGGTGACTTTTGGTGCACACGCCGGAGTCTTCAGGCACCCAAAGCGGGCCAGACAAGGGAGCAAGTGCGGCAAGTATAGTTACTGGGATATATAGTTCACCTACAATCAAAGAGCATTCTGAACTCCACCAGTGATGGAATTGAACCAAATATGGCACACAGAACTCCTACGACGAACAGAAAATATATATCAATGATTGGTTGGGGGGGGGGGGCGCCAAAATACTGTTTGCTTACCGTTGAAAATTACCTAGGGCCGCCTCTGCTGACCTGTGACTTCAGGGGGAGTGTAACCCCGTCCAACACAGGTTGCCACCCTATACCCCGATCCGGTTTACGATCGACCAGGAGGACCTCTGTCTTGTCGGGATTGATCTTCAGCTTGTTCCTCCTCATCCAGATCGACACAGCGGCCAGGCACTCGTCCAGCACCCGAGAGGCCTCCTTGGAATTAGGTGGAAAAGAGTAGTAGAGTTGTGTGTCATCTGCGTAGAGGTGGCACCTAACTCCAAAACTCCGGATGACCTCTCCCAGCGGTTTCATGTAGATGTTAAAGAGCATGGGAGACAGAATAGAGCCTTGCGGGACCCCACAGGTCAAAGGCCAGGGGTCCGAGCAGGCGTCTCCCGACCCTCCAGGAAGGACCGGAGCCACAGCAAAGCCATACCTCCAAGGCCCATCCCAGAGAGTTGTCCCAGAAGGATACCATGATCAATGGTATCAAAAGCCGCTGAGATGTCCAAGAGAACTAACTATCTATGTATCTAGGAATTGTGGGAGTTGGAGTCCAAAACACCAGGCCTGCTCTCTCCACATCCCTCCACCCATCTCTCTAGGCATTGTCCAGTGATCATAAACACCATCATAATGAAACACTCTACATTTTGCTGCAGTTTGGAAGAGGACGGACCATGGACAATGGGACTTGCAGTACCTTCGCTGCCTGAGACCATTACAGCCCACACCAATGACTGATCATGACCAAACTGGGCAAACAGAGTCCCCATGACCCACTCTACATCCTGGTGCAGTTTGGAGGAGGATGGATCATGGACAATGGGACTTGCAGTATCTTCACTCATTTCCTGAGACCACTATGACCACCAGCAATGATGGATCAAGAGCAAACTTGGCACACAGAGTCCCCATGGCCCACTCTATATCCTGGTGCGGTTTGCAGGAGGATGGACCATGGACGATGGGACTTGCAGTACCTTCACTGCCTGAGACCATTACAGCCCACACCAATGACAAATCAAGCCCAAACTTGGCACACAGAACCCCCATGACCCACTCTACATCCTGGTGCAGTTTGGAGGAGGATGACCATGGATGATGGGACTTGCAGTACCTTCACTCACTTCCTGAGACCACTGCAACCCACATCAATGACAGATCACGACAAAACTTGGCACACAGAGCCCCCGTGACCCATTCCACATCTTGGTGCACTTTAGAGGAGGATGACCATGGATGATGGGACTTGCATATGGGAGTTGTAGTTCACCGGCAACCACTGAACCCTACAGACATTGGATCTAGACACAATTTGGATCCCAGGCAAGCAATGCCTTTCTCAAATAACCCGGGCATTTCCAAATCCCCAAGCTAGTAGTAGTAAAAAAATATCCATCCAGCCATCTACTTATCTACTTACTGACCAATCATCCATCCATCCACTTGTGCATCAATCTGCCCATGTTTATGCATCTCACTCTCTGTCATTGATGTCGAATTCGCCCCAGACCCCTGCTTTCCAGCTGATCTGACCAGCTGCAGGGAGTTCCGCAGTTCTTGGGTGCTCCATTGGGCAAGCGCTAATGAAATGTGCCTCAGCAGCAGCTTCAACCAGGGACTCTTTGCAACCTTGCACTCTCTCCTTTCATTTCTTTCCCCTGCCCAAACATTGTAAGTAAACCCTTAATAAAGACTAATTGAATTGTAACCTTCACCTCTTCATAGTGATACATTGTTCCCCATTCCTGACTCACAAGTATGTAATGCATGAATTCAACCTTTTCTGGGCCGTGGGAAGCCACTGGCCCGCCTGGGATGCCTTCCAGGCGTCCCAGGGAGGCCGAAACTGCATTTCTTCAAACCGCGGATACGGAAACCCCTTGGG